GGATGTATGTAACCCCAGATTGTCATATATGTACTTGAGATAGGCAACTATAAATAGGTTATAAATATTTACCTATTTTCATATTATTAACACTTAGAAAGAGCACTATTTTTGTTTGTTTGTTTTTTTCATCTACTCCTTCCATTGAGATCCAGATACAACCAGAGTTTTTGTTCAATCTAGGATTTTTTCTAGCTAAGAGGACTGTAGGGTTTTATCCCACCGATCTTAGAGCTGGAAGGACCCTCAGAGACTATCTCTTGTCCAACCCAGACCTCAATAGGGATTTCCTCTACAACATACTCAACAAGTGAGTATCCAGACTTTGCTTGAAGATTTGCTTTAGTGAGGGAGACACCTATGGCTTCTCAAGGCAAGTCAATGAGCATTTATTATGTGCCCACAAAGTGTGCCAGGCACTACACTAAGCCCTGAGGATACAAGGAAAGGGAAAAAGCAGACCAATGGGGAAGACAACATGTAAACCATGTAAGTGGCTATATACAAACAAAGATATATATGGGGGTGGAGAGAGAGAGAGAGAGAGAGAGAGAGAGAGAGAGAGAGAGAAAAGAAGAAGAAGAAGAAGAGGAAGAAGAGGGAAGGAAGGAAAGAGAGGGAGGGAAGAGGAGACAAAGAAGAAAGGAGAGAGAGGGAAGGAGGGAGGGAGAGGGAAGGAGGGAGGAAGAGGAGAGAGAGAAGGAAGGGAGAGGGGAAGAATGAGAGGAGGGAGGGAGAGAGAAAGAAAGACAAAAGGAGGGAGAAGAGGAGAGAGAAAGAGGGAAGAAGAGAGGAAGAGAGAGAAAGAAGGAGAGGAGAGGGAGAAGAGAGAGAGAGAGAATCATTGGAGATGATTTTAGAGGGAAGGCAATAGCCTTAAGGAGGATCAGGAATAGCTTTTTGTAGAAGGTAAGACTTTAGCTAAGCCTTGAAGGAAGTTAAGGAAGCCAGGAGACAGAGAGAGTTTCAGGTATGAGGGCCAACCAGTGAAAATGCACTGTCAGAGTGTCTTGTGTTAAAAAACATCCAGGAGACCAGTATCACTGGAGAACAGAGAACATGGAGGGGAATGCAGTATAAGAAGAATGGAAAGGTAGGAAGGGTGATGATGAGCTTTAAAAGCCACAGAATTTTATATTGGATCTTGGAGGTAATAGGAAGCCTCGGGAGTTCATTGAACAGAGGGGTGACAAGGTCAGACCTGTGCTTTATAAAGATCAATTTGACAGGTGAGTGGAGGAGGCAGGGAGACCTCCCCTCCCCCCAAGTCCAGGTGGGAGATGCTGAGGCAGTCCATTTCACTTTGGGGCAGCATCAATTGCGAGAAACCCCTCCCTTACATCGAACCCAAATTTACCTTTCTGCAATTTCCATCCACCGCTTCTGGTTCTGTCCTATGGGGCCAAGCAAAGCAAGTATAAGCTCTTGAGAGAAGTGATTGTTTTCTATTATATTAATAATCAATTATTAAATTAGGATTGAGGTTTTTCCTTTCTATTTCCTCATTCAGTGAGGGACCCTGCAGGCCAATCAGTTTCTGAAGGACATTGCTGATAGATGAGATTGTCCAAACCCTCCAGGTATATGCTCTTCTATTTTGGATGGGACCCCACCCAACTAGAAGACCTTACAAACAGAATCTAATTTAGGTAAATTCTTGCCCTTAGGAAATAAGCTCATATCCTGTACCTCTCCATTAGAGTCTAGGGCAGCGGTGGGGAACCCAACTTGTGAAGGAGAAAACCAACCAGAGTAGTATGGGCAGAGATGGATTCCTTTGTCCAGAGTGCTGGAGGTGGTTGAATCTCATTAATCTAGTCACTTTCTCAGCAGGAGGAACTGAAAACTTTAAGCCCACCTCTTCATTAATATGTCCAACCCCTCATTCATTGTTTACCAGACAGGGTTGATTTTCACCTGTCAGGGGCATCTCCTTTTCCAAAGGTATTTAAGCATTCAGGGGTTTCCATGGTTACCGAGAGAAACCACAGACCATCAATTTATTATCAACTAACCTAACTAATAAATTGATTATTAGTTACCCAGAAAAGGTCTCTCAGGCTTTTCATTCATCTCACTCTCTACCACATAAGGGCCTTTCAGGTTTTGGGAGAATGTGATGGGATGCATAGATAAAATGAAGGGGTTGGACCAGATGCCTCTGAGGTCCCACCTAGTTTTAACCCATGATTCTATGAGTTGGACTGATGGGAATCCCAGAGAAGCTGAACCACAGAATCACAGATAATCTAGGGAGAGAGCAAGACAGCATCGAATGGTGTTTCTGGGGGTACTTTATTCTGAAGACATAGATGAAAGAAATCCCAGGAGATCTGAAAGCACTGGAAGATGTCCTTTAGAGGATGTTCTGGGAAATGTAAGCTCACTGAAAGCAGGCATTGTTTTCGTTTTTTGTCTATGTATCCACATTGCTTCTGGCACTACTAGTCAGGTAGTAATGCTTGGCGAATTGGATTAGATTCCACTCATCCTGTTTAGTTCTACAAGGCTGAAGTAGGGCTGTTGGCTTTGGAAATTGCAAAGTGCAAGTCGAAGCTTAATATAAAGAAAAACTTCCTCACAATTAGAGCTACCCCAAGGAGAATGAGCAACTTGGGGCAGGCTCCTGCTCACTAGAGCTTATTATTTTATACTAGAACTATTATATAATATACAATAAAATGTTATATACTCACTAGAGCTTTTTATATATTATAGAGCTCACTTATTATTTGTAAGCACTCTTGTAGGATTCTTGGGTTGAAACGAATGACCACTAAGCCACCCCCTCCACTTGCAAGGCTCTCCATCTCCTGACTCTGGCAATGCATTTTTTTTTTTTTTGTCGAGGCAATCGGGGGTTAAGTGACTTGTCCAGGGTCACACAATAAGTGTCTGAAGCTGAATTTGAACTCAGGTCCTCCTGACTCCAGGGCCGGTGCTCCGTCCACCTTGCCACCTGCAGCAGTAGCTTCCATTCTAATAGAGGGGACACACATACACTTTTACATCTCCTATTTATTAGCTGTGTGACCCCAGGCAAGCAGTATCATCTATCTAATCTTCACTTTCCTCATTTGCAAAATGGAGATGATAATAATATCTGTAGCCCCTACCTCGCAGAGTTGTGAGGCTCAGATGAGATGATATATGTAATGTGCTCCCAGCTTTTGTTATTAACTTGCTCATTTTAGGGAGGAGCAGAATGAACCCCAGAGAAGTGAAGGGACAGCTAGTTAGTGACATCTTGCACACCTGCCCCTCGTGGAGATCAGAAATAAACTACGGAGTTGGATTTGGAGGTGCTCTTTAGACCAATCCTCTCGTCCCACTGATGGGGAAGCTGATGCACAAAGACAAGGTACCTACCCGAGGTCACACGGGCAGCAAAGTGTCAGATCAGAGTCCACAAAGCTGCACATCTACCTTGCCACCTGGGAGGTGATTAGAAACGTTCCCTTCGAGATCACCTTTCACTTACTCTCTAGGTCTTGTCTCCTTAGAACGCGAACCCTTGAGGCTAGGGATTGTTTTTGTCTTTCTTTGTAATTAGCAGCGTTTAGGGTAGTACCTGGTACACAGTAAGTGCTCAATACATGCTTGTTGTTGATGGAAAAGAGAGGTTGAATGCACGAGTGGGAGTCAAAGAGGACTCACAAAGTGAGAGACAGGAGGAAGGTGGTGGATGATGAAAGAAAGGGAGACGGGGTGGGGGGGGAGCAGTCATGGAAGTATGTGTGGGCTCCTTCGAAGGGGGGAGAGGAGCCGGAAGAAGGGGATCTAAGTCAGTGGATAAGCATTTATTAAGCACTTACTAAGCGCTTTTCAACACTTCGCTAAGCGGAGGAGACGGTGAAAGGCAAAAGAGTCGGTCCCTGCCTTCAAACAGCTCCCATCCTAAAGGTTTTAGAAAAGGTGGGTGCATTGGGAGGGTGGGTGGCTGGGTCCCGGAAAGAAGGGTCTGCTTCTGAAAGGTGGGGGGCCGAGGTGGGTCCCCTGCGCAGTGGGAAGGGGAGAGCTCTGCAAAGGGGAGAAGGAGAAGGTTCATTTAAGGCAAGTTATGGAGGAAAGGGGGGTTTGGTTTTCAAAAGCGGGGGGAAGATTGGGGAGCAAGTTCTGGAAGTGGAGAGGTTGGGTCGCAGACCCCAAAATGTAGAACAAGGGGAAAGCGGGAGGGGGCGACTCGTGAGGAAAGGTCTGGTCTTAGTGGGGGGCAAGGGGCCTACAGGAAGGTGGGGTCTGGAGAGGGAAAACAGGAAGGTCCTAAATAGTGCACCGTCTTAGATGCGAAAGTGGGCTGGAAGGGTGGGAAGGTTGGAAGGCGGGGGCGAGGGAAGCGGAGGAGGTGGGAGGGGCAAAGGCGTAGGGGAGAAAAGGGGCGGGGCTTTAAGAGTGGGGGCGGGGAGAGATGGAATGAGGCGGGGAGGTAGGTGCGGGGCGAAGGAGGCGGGGCTCGGGAGACTGGGGCGAGGCGCTGGGGGAGATGGGGCCGGCCGGAGGCGGAGCTTGGATGGAGAGGGACAAGGAGATAGGGTGAGCCGGAGAGGGGGCGGGACCAGAAGGGCCGAGATAGGGCGAGACGGTGAAAGGAGGTGCGGCTTGGAAGGTGGGGGGCTGGGAGGTAGGGCGAGACGCACTCGGAAGGTGGGGGCGGGGAGAGATAGGATGAGCCGAGAGGAGGCGGGGCTTGCACGGAACGGGGCAGGGAGATAGGGCGAGACAGAGAGGAGGCGGGGCTCGGCGAGGTGTCCGTGCGTGTCGCCCGCGCCGGGTGCGCGAGGAGCGGAGGGGGCGGGGCGGGCTGAGGAGGGCAGAGCCGGGCAGGTCGTCGAGCTGGTCGGTCGCACTCCGTTGCTCTCCCGGCGGCGGGCTGCGGGCGCTAGCAGGGGTGCGCTCCGCGGGGTCTGTTAGCAAGGCCGGCCGGCCTCGCCACCTGAGCGGCCGCCGCGGGCCGAGGCTCGGGCGCCCCCGCCATCTTCGAGGCGGCCGGCCGCGACGGCGGGGCTCCCCCTGCCCGCGCCCCGGAGATGAGGCGAAGATGTCGGTGTCAGGGCTCAAGGCCGAGCTGAAGTTCCTGGAGTCCATCTTCGACAAGAACCACGAGCGGTTCCGGATCGTCAGCTGGAAGCTGGACGAGCTGCACTGCCAGTTCCTGCTGCTGCCGCCGGGCAGCCCGCACCCGCCGCCGCTCACCATCCACTGCAATATCACGGTGAGCCGGGCCGGGGGCCGAGACCCTAGACCCTCGCCGCGGGGGGCGGGGCCGGGGCCGCGCGGGCCCCCAACGGCCGCCCCGCCCCGCGTCGTCCAGGGCTGGGGCTCCCGCGGGGGGGGGAGCGGGCCCCCCAGTCGTGGCAGTGGCTGTGGCCGCGGGCTGACCCCAGCCGACCCGCCCGCCCCCGGGAGCGGAGCCCTCGGGCTTCTCGGGAAGGGTGGCGACCCTTCCGACTCCTCGGTGGGCAGGGAGAGAGGGAGTCGCCGAGCGACGGCCACGGGCTCCTTATTTAGCCCTTCAAAGGGAAGGGGGCGCCCCTGGGTCAGCGTTCCACGGGGCGGGGCCTGGGCGAGGGTCCGGGTGGGCGAGGTCCCCAGCCCCCTCGCCAGGGGTCGTCGCTGGGAAATCGCCGTAGGACTGGACTTGGAATGAGACAGAAACTTGTGGGCCGGCTTCACTATTTTGCAGAGATTCTTCCCATTCTTTTTAAAAATCCTTTCAGTTTGTGATTTGATAGTGATGCATTTTCTCAGCACCAAACTTTCATTTGATAATCCTGACCAGACTCCTCTAGGTCTTTCAGCTAAGAGGTCTTTTCATCCCCTTCAGAGGAGGTGACCTTACAGGCTAGTTGGGAGAAACCTGTTTTGTAGTTGCATTGGGTCTCTGTGTAAGTAGGTGTATACACATGTGTGTATGTGTATGTATATATACACACATACACATATACCTACATTTCACGATACTGTGAGATAGGTTGTAAGTGTTGTGTTGCACTGTAATAATTAAGATTTGTAAAAATACTTGACATATATTATTAATTCATTCTCTGCAACCCTGTGAGATGGGTGCAGTGATTATCCCCATTTTACAAATGAAGAAACAGGCTGAGAGAGGTTGTGACTTGCCCAGGGCTACTCAGCTAGTAATTGCCTGAAGCAGAATGTGAGCTCCAGTCTTCCTGACTCCTAAATGCAGTTCTTTAGTCACTATACTAGAAGGTGAGAGATCTGGGTTACTAGTTTCAGATTTGAGCTTAACAAACTTAGTAGTTACTGTCATCGCCATCCTATAATAAATGCCCTCCTGGATATTTCTGATTCCCTCAGTGACTTTACCACTCTGCCAACATTCCACTCCACCCGGTCATCATCCTCATAGGGTCAGAGGCAGAGAGCTGGGGCCATCTGATCCAATTCTCATTTTACATACGAGGACCCTGGAGCCAAGGCCACAAAGGGAGCAGGCTTCCAGGTCAAGAGATTTGGAGAGTCTTGTGCTGGAGTAAGAAACAATAGGGGTCAAAGACTGAGAGACTATGTAGAAGACTCAGACATACGTGTCTCCCATGACATACGCAAACATTAGCATATATACCTCATGAGTACTTTAAGAAGAGGGTTGAGAGGCAACAAACATTGTATTGACAAAAAATTATATTCTTAAGAGTCAGGAAAGGACTGGTTACATCAGTGTGAGAGAATCATTTTGAAACAGTTGTCTGTGGTCAGTTTATCAGCTTGTTAGAGAAAATATTAGTATCAATTCCAGACATGGGGAAAAAGAAGAATAACAGTGAGACGACACAGAATGTAATTGAGGCAACTCTAAGTGACCTGACCTATTTTAACAAGCTCTTAAAGCTGGGAAATGGATTTTAAAAAATAGACATTGGCATAGATTACCACCATTTCCTCAGGAAGTTTAGCCAGTGTAAATCAGTTGTCACAATGAGGAGACAAAATAATCGTTGAAACCACCTCAGCTAGCAAACATTTGATCTTTTCCAAACAGAGAAACGTGGCACCCAAGGGCAATGATGCTTTAGAATCTAAACTCCCTTGGAAAGCTTACAAGAGGATTGGAGAAGATGATGATGTATTAGCACAGAAAGTAACTAAAGGTGGAGGCAGATAGAAGCTTTGATAATGGATGGTGAGAGACCCAAGGGAGCCCACTCATGGTCATGTGAGAGTTTAAAAATGAAAATGAAAGGACAGTGACCAGAAAAAAAACAAACCTGAAAAAGGCTTTGCTAGATATCTTTAAGGCGCTTTTTTCCCTCTCAGTGAGAGTAGAGCAATAGCATTTGGGTTCTAACGTCATAATGACTGTGCTGGATGAGGAAGCAGAAATGCACCAAGGAAAACAAAGATGGAAAGACCAGGGGGATTACACTGACTATGTAATGGGGAATTCTGTGCCAGAGGAGACAGTTTTGAGAGCGTTGAGGGGTGGGAGAGAGGGAGGATCCCTTGTAAGATATCATAGATTTCTTATTATTTTAAAAAAAAGGTCTTTATCCATACTCAGGCATGGAAGCTATTCTTAATGAAGATATGAGATTGGAATAGGAAGACTTTCAGGAGTTATGGGTCCATTTGGATCATGCTTCTGGCTCATTTCATTGACTTCTTCAACTTCTGTGACTTGTCCTCCTCTGTTTCACCTCCCAAGATGGTCATGCATTGGAACTCATTATCGTTCTTTAGTGTCCCACTGCTGAAAAATTGATGCCTGACTATGGGCTCCTGCCTTCACCTTCTCTTGGTGTCTGTGACCTTTTGTCTCTTGACTCTTCCCCTTTCTCCAGCCTATTACTCCTGCTTTGGCTTTGCTTTTGTCTCTACCCATTCTTGACCCAGTCGTCAGCCAATTTTTATTGTGGTTAAAAAAAAATTCACTCTTCTGCTCTTGAATCCCTGTTCTTGCAAGGGTCCTACCTTCTTAATCAACAATCCTTGGTTGCTTCTTAACATCTATGGGCTCTGTAGCTGAGTTGCTCAGCAGTCAGTCACAAACTTTGCCAACTGGATCCATTTCAACATTTGTACTATTCTCATCTTTCCCCAGATGCTACTTCTACTGCAGCTATTCCTCAGCCCCTCTTCCCCTAAACTTTTAGAAGAGGACCTCACCTCTTACTTTACTGAAAAATTCAAAATAATCAGACTCTGACCCCCAAACTGCTTTTTTCTCCTTTCCTTTCATCTCAGATGATGAAATGGGTATTCTTCCTTGCCGAAGTTAACCCCTAAACCCATGCCTTTGATTTCATCCTGTCCTTCTTCAGCCATACTCTTTGAATTCATGCCATCGTTCTCTTTTATCTTAGATTTGTAGATTAATAGAACTGGAAAGGAGGATCATAGCAATCTTCTAAGACAACACCTTAATTTTACAGATGAGGAAATTGAGATCTAGTAGGGTTAAGTGACTTAACTAATGTCATGCAATGCTACTACTTACCACTTACTACTACTACTACCACCACTACCACCACCACTACTACTACCTGACATTTATTTGGTGCTTTAAGGCTTGAAAAACTTTATTTACATCTCATTTGTAGCACAGTTGAGACTGGAACACAAATTCCTGCTTTATGCAGCCTTTTTTTAATTGTCCCATATTCAGTCTTTCCCTCTCTACGCATTCCTTTCCTTCTGCCTAAATACTTAGGTGACCATAATAGTTCACATTTAGATAGTGCTTTGAGATTGCAAAGCTCTTCGTGTAATTCTCTCATTTGATTCTGACAGCAGCCCTGTGAAGTTCATGTTGTCTCTATTTTATAGTTAAATAAGTGAATGAATGAAAAGGCATTTATTAGGTGCTTACTGTGTGCAAAGCCCTGGGGATATAAATAGAAAAGTAAGTCCTTGCTCCCAAGAAGCTCACATTCTAACAGGGGCAGACAACACATAGAAGGTTTTAGCTGGGAGTCAGATGGAAAAGTCTCATGGTCCTTAGGGGGCATTGGCAAAGCAGATGATAATGCGTGATATTTAATATCACTTCCACTGATAAAATCACATCCATATCTGGTGTTGAATCATTCAGTAGGCCAGAGACTTTGATGAGAACTCCCTTTTCTGGGGCTTCAGTAGCTGTGGCTTCAGAACCCATAGAAGAAGTTGCCAGGCTGTATCTTCACAGGCCTTGTTTTGAAAGGTGATAGCTCTGAGAGCTGTGGGAAGGACCATAGTAGTCTGGGGGATGCTGCCCCTTCCAGGGCTCTTGGGCTTCCCTGCCATTGTTGGGAGTTGGCCAGAGGTTGGGGTTGGTGGTGGCAAGGATGGTGGGTCCTCTTCCACAGTGATTTCTCCCCATAGTGATGGCTGTGGGGCCTAAGTTGGAAGCAGAATTGGTCTGGAGGACAGTATTCTGCCAAAGACTCCTCTGGGTGTGAGGGGAGATGATCCAGGTGATGGTCAGGTGGTTTGATTTGCCTGGCATGTGCCATTCCCCAGCTGAGGCTTAATGATGAGAGGTCATATAGCTGGTGAATAGTTGAGGCAGAATTGGCCGTGTCTAGCACTTGTCCATTACCACACTTCTTCTCTTGTCTTTGAAAAACAAGAGCAGAATACCCCTTTCCTGCTGTCATCTCAAACGATCTTATGTCTTTCCTTTTCCTCTCAGACACATAAGAAAATTGAGTATATGCTGGTTGCTTCTGCTTGTTTCACTACCCGCTTGCCTTTGTATGTCTTCAGTAGGTGCTTCATAAATACTGAGCGTTGAGTGATTCAGTGTTCCTAATTCCCCCTATTTGTTTGTGCTTTTTCACCACCTCAAATTATCTTTTATTTACTTATTTATCTGCCTGTGTAGGCTTCTTAAGGGCAGTCTGTCTTCTTGTTTTTGTTTTGTTTTTGACTTTACCTTGCCTGTAGTAAGTGCTTAATAAATATTGATAGAATCGAATTCTCCTCCTTCTGTGGTTCCTTTTCTGCCTCCTAGGGTCTCTCTCCAAGTTAGGTCCCTGCTCCCTCCACTTAGCCAACTTCAGTTATGGATGCTATGAAGAGCTCACCCTGATTTCCTTGCTTCTCACATTTAACCTGTCCAAAACATAAGCGCGTCATCTCCTCCCTTCTCCCAAACTGTCTCACCTCAGTCTGTCTGCCTGTTTCAATTGATGGTTCCCCCCTCCTCCTAGTTACCCAGGTTGGAGATGGCCATCACCTTTGACTGTTATTTCCCTTGCACCT